ATCAATTAATCTATCTGCGTCTATGTCTATATGTATGTATGTCTGTCTGTCTGTCTGCCTGTATGTATGTATGTATGTATGTATGTATGTATGTATGTATGTATGTATGTATGTATGTATGTATGTATGTATGTATGTATGCGTGTATGCGAGTATGGAAGCATGTATGCCTTTGTGAGTGTATGCATGTGTGCGTGTAAGCGTGAAGAGTGTAAGCATGTATGGGCTTATGCATGTGTGCGTGAGTGTGTGTGAGTGTGTTTTCGCTGTGTGTGTTGTATTCCTGATCCAGTGATTGCAAACAGGACATTTCTCACTGGGTGAACTGCTGTCATTGTGCCCAATCGAGTTGGCATCACCAAAAAAGTTACTTTGCCCCCCCTTTCCCCCTCTATTCCAGCCACAAAAAAATTTGAGACCCGCATCTAGTTTGTGAAGTTGGATTCGGCCTGTCAAGCAGGGTCGGCTAATACTTTCTTCTGTTTCTGTTTGTGATTGTTTCACTCTTTCTGCAGGGGGTTGGAGTGGTGGTGAGGTCTGATTTCGTACGCCAATGATTAAGAAAGTAATTTTCTTTCTGTCTACGGCAATTCAGGGAAAAGCAACAAAGAAAATCTGTTAGTCTGGAGGTAAATTTCAGGAAAAAAAATGTTGATCATTTATTCTGACGAGACATTTTATGAGGAATCCGTTTCTGATGTTTGTTTTGCATGAGTGCGAAAACTGGAGACCTATAAATTGGACACTGCTTGGAATTTCTTTAGGTAGGGTTTTTTTTACACCCGTGACCATTTAAGAGGCGGACAAAAGACTCGCTTGTAAAACGAAATTTGTTCACTCACATCTTTATCCACCAGGGCGGTGCTGCTGACTGAAGTGTCTTTAGGCCATTCCCAAAGGGGGGACATTACTATGTTCTTGTGCTCAGTAGAATTGTAAATTGCAATTGGGTTGAGTCATCAATGTCATGCTCTTAACTGTGCCTGAACTGCAACAGGGAACTGCTGCTTTTTCTTTCCTAATCCTTACTATCGTCATTTTCCTCTACCTCTTTTGTATGATTGTCACACTCTTGTGACCCGCTATTTCCGAAGCAGACTTTGCACTGTTGAAGCTAGAGAGGTGAGCAGAGTAAGCCCGATTTCCCGTGATGACTTCTCTGTTGACATCCACCCCTTGGCGCTCATATGACCTTATGCAGTTGCGAGCGCCGTAAAACCTCTACTAAAAAAAGACTTTAAAAAACAATCACATCTTATCCATATCCCCTCAAGTGCCCTTTTGACGCTTGTTTTCCAGAAATTCATCTTTTTATAAAACCTGAGAGGAAATCTGACCAAAGTGAATCACATGCCACACAAACAGACCGACGTCTGTGGTGGAGCGGTTAGATGGTTCGCTATCGCACGCAGGATATCAGAGTTCGATTCTTGAGTGGGTAGAAATTTGATAAGAAGTGTATTTTGGTCCCTCTGTTCAAACGCTGTATCTCTCCTAGCCGGGGTTGTTGGACCTGATAAGCAGGGTCGGAAGGCCGCCTTCTAAATGGTCTAGATTGTGTCGACATGGGCGTAAAAACTCCTACGTTAAGAAAAGCAAAGCAATGTCCAGTTTATAGGTCTCCAGCATGATTATTGTTTGCTAAAAAATCAATTTGAGCTCTAACACCCACCCACCACCCACCACCCAC